TTACCATACAGGCCAATGGTTCTGAAACTATAAAAGGGCAGCTGCAACCCTACTTCACATCCATTAAATCTGGAGTGACTGTAACGTGATCACAGAGTAACTCATTAAAATGCTATATTGGTGATCATATAACTGGAGTTACAACATGTAACTACTACATCTGTCTGTTGTGCAATTACAAACTTGGGGTTTTTGTCACAAATGTCTATCGTTTGGAAATGGAGACATTTGTGAGTTGTGCAAGGCTCCCATGTGCTTGTGCATGGGTTGCAAGTATGACGTTTGTTTTGATTAGTGAAATCTGTCAAAATGAACAGGAGATGGAATGTTCCATGTTGGATATCACAGCTTGTATGTTGAAAATATGGTGAAACAGGCTCTTGGCAAAGGAACCAGTCAAATGCAGCATTTAAAATACGATGAACTGGGCTGCCACTGACCATAATACCATAATGTAAAAAAAAATAAAATAGAAACATAGCCTAATCTAGGGAAGGAAAGAGAAATGCAGCCACTGTTAACTGGATAGAATGCTTTCGCCACTAAAAAAGGAATCCCTGGAAAACCATTCCAGTTGCATGCTTTTTGGATGCATGTGCCACCCTCTTGCATGATTGCATGATTACAAGATCTTACAGTTAGCAGCTTGTTTTTCTCTCTGTGTCAAAGGTTAAATGAGCGTCCATGGGCAGATTGTTCCCATTTGCTTCATTTACTTCGATAAAAATCAATGCTTTAACAAGTCCTTTCTTTCAAGAAGAGGCCACTGATCTGGCTCCCTGTCAAGCCTATAGATTATATAACAGTGCCGGGATTCTCTTCACTAAGGCATGTAGAAAACTTGGCATGGGGCAGCACTAACAAAGGCGGAAGCTTGTGTCTAACGAGGCATGGCAATATTACTCAGCAAGGAAAACATGTTTGTTACCAGTGACATTCTGCCTATTGTCTTTGGTAAATCTCCAGGTTGGAGCTAGAACTGATTATTTAAAAAAAAAAATACTATCATTGACAGTCTGGGTGAGGATTACCACTTTATTGTTTGATCATTTGTCATGGTAAATTTCCATCTATTTCTATGGTTTGATTTTTTGATAGCTAAACTATGTGCCTGAGTGAGCACAAATGCATTGATGACAGTGATAAGTTGATGTTGTTCTCCACTTGACTGTTGCTGTTGAATGCTATGTGTTGTAAAGCACAATTCAAAATGTGTTATGCACTAGTACCCCATACTTGCTATAGCCAGTGTTTTCAATAACAAATTGTAAATCCATTATCTTGATAAGTTCCCAAAATGACTCCTAAAAGGTGAGCAGTGCCTTATTAACAAATAACTTTTCAAATCCCTTTTAACAAATTTCTTGGCTTGAAACCCAACAGCCTGATCTTGAGGACAGCTCTCTAATCAAACAGAACTCATACTGTATCAACAAATGTTAATTGACTCAAGTGTAATTTAAACACATGCAAATCTGAAGAATTAAGGCAAGCTTTTAATTAGTAAAGAAGGGCCTCCTCTGATGTGTGTGACGCCTGGAGGAACTATAGAAACAAGATCCTCCACATGATACCGAGAAACGGTTTTATAACAATTTATGTAGCTCATTAATATTCAAGTTTGTATAGTGTGCAGAATTAAATTTCAGTGTAAAATGAGCAAGCCTAGTGGCCATATTTACCATTGTAAATAAAACTGTATTGCATGCATAATTGTTAAATTATGCATATGGTGCAGGATGTAGCTAATTGTATGGTGAATGCAAGGTGCTCCTGTTTGCTGTCTTATCCATGGTGTTTGTTTGTTTGTGACTGTTTTTGTTTGTTTTCCATAATTGAAAGTCTAATGTTGGAAGCAATTACATTTCCAAGGAGAATGTGTGACCCTGGATTGAAATGAACCTTTATATAGAAAAAGGAGAACCTGCCATCAAAACAGTTACATGAAAAACTTTCCCCTCTATGCTCTTGTTTGTGACTAGAGGTGCAAGAGGATACCAGTTGGCACTGAAGAGTGACGAGTGACGACAATATGTCTTTCTCCTCTTCCCGAGTGGTATGTCTTTACATCCAAATTGAGACTGCAAAATCTCCTCTTTTAATGACATGACAATATATCACAGCATGGATCATGTTACTCTAACACTGATGTGCAGTTGTTTGTAGTATGCATTCATGATATCCTCGCAGCACCTCTACATGTTGAAATTCAAGAATGTCTACCACCTTCAGGCCAATCCCAAAGACAGCAGGGTACACACATGGAGGACAAACGTAGGTCACCATATTATATTTACCTCATTTCATTCGACCTCTGACTATAAACTTAATCTCAAATTAACACAGATAAGAGAGATGGAAAGAAAGATAGAAAGAAAGATAAAGAAAGGAAATAAATCTATGTACAATCCATTTTATTTATTTTCTATTTTAAGAAAGATTTAATGTGCTGACAAAAAAATATAGATTTTTGCTGTAATTTTTCAATTGCTGTAATTTTTCAATCCAGAGGGCCTCATATTTTCACAAACTCTAAAATCACCTTCACTTCCCTCCTGACCTTCTTGCTGCTTGATGGTGTGCAGAACAATTGTGTACGCCTAGAGGCGCAGGACCTTTAAGACAAATATTAACACTTGAAACAAACATATTAATAGGTGAAAAACTCCAAGGAATGTCCTTTTTAGAGCAAGGTCACTTACATGGTCTTTGAAGGCATCATTAAGTTTGGTCATACAAACTTACCACATGTTTGATGTATAGTGTATTGTACATGTGCAGGTTTAAAGCGGTAGCTCCCACGAAACCCACAAGACTGGTTGCCCTGTAATACCTTATCCCTCGTATGGCTCGCTCTCCACAACGAGAATCTCGCCCCTGGTCCCTCTCGCTTTGACTCGTCTTTTCAAAGATGCCCCTCTAACGCTTTTCAGCCCAGGCTTCTGAGGCAGCTGCAACAACGTCTAACAGCAGGATGAGAGGCTAGTATACCACCGTCCCCCAGTTATTCCCCATTGTTTGTCATTATGCCTCTTTGCATAATGTACCAAAAGTAAATTATTTCTTTTAAGTATATTAAGTTTTCCTAAACCTAAACAAAGTATGACTGTTTCACTAGGTTAACTATGCTTTATTTAAGTCTAACCGGACAATGCATATTTATTTGTTGCTAACTTGACCGTGGATCCCTGCGGGGTACTTATAGCATCTTTGAAAAAGGAAAATGCTATAGGTGTGCATTCATTTCTAAATATTCTTAGAAAATTAATATGTTATCCAATCCAAAATTAAATGTAATGAAGCATCTTTAGCTTCTGTCACTTTGAGTAACTTGTCCAGTTTAATTCGTTATACTATTAAAAGTCAATGCACAACTCTTGTGGAGGTTAAGACTAAGACCAAGTGAAACTGAATTTGGCATGTAGGCTCCTAAAAGTGAAAAGACTTTTGTTGGCTTAAAGCATAGTCGTGATCCAGTTAGTCATGTGAAATAGACGCAAGTGTAAAAGTAGACAGAAAAAAATGTGCTTCCGCCCAAAATAGTTTCAGTTTGGCAGCTCTCACACTTTTGACATTTTTTTCCTAAAGAAGAAGCAGACATTTTTTCCTCTCAGACACAAAGTGTGTTATGATTTTGTGGGAAGCATGGCCTCAAATGCTGTCGACCAATGAAAACACTGGGGAATAATTTACAATATAAGTCATATACTTCTTCACATTTTTGCAGTTCATATTTCCTGAAGATCAAGATCAGAAAGACACCCAAAATAGGCAGCTACAGTTTCCCCCTTTGGCACTAAACTAAAAAGACCAGTTTACTTTATTTTTAGTCATCTGAAGTTATTTGAGTAATAGCAGGAAAACCTCTGTAAGTTTAAGTTATTAAGTAGTTACAGTAAAAGGTTTCAAAAATTTCAGTTATGGTATTTTCATTGTATTTATTTATTTACTTATACCTTGATACTGAGGTCACAGTACCCCCAAAAGGAACGTCTTTTATGAAAACAGGTAAATGTAAAAAAGGAAGGAAGGTCTCTTCTTACAGGGATCTCTCTATTCACCCTACAAGTATACTGTCTGATCATCATAAAGATACAATTTTTTTCTTTGCGTTCACACCAAATAAGGCATATTTGAATTCCTGGAGGCTTATCATGGAACATTTGAAGAAAAGCAATGTGTGTGCGTGTGTGTTTGCTAATGTGCAAACACTTGATCCAGATAAAATGGAAATGTGGAAATTTATTTGCCTCTTTCATGACACAGACGTAAACTTGTGTTTTTCAGGGCTCTTAAACACCCTCAAAGTTGGATGTCTTACAATTGATTGATAAACCAGGCCTTTGTTGAGGTTAAACCTCAGATCCAACCTGTGACACAATAAAAAGATCATTGGCTTTTTTCCAAAAATAAGGTGGCTTTAGTCAAAAGGACAAATCAAGGCCCTTATTTTATCAATCTGCCTTCCCTATCATAGCTTCCCTAAAGAATAAAAACAAGTGTACTATTCGACTCTTACCATAACTTGGTGTGTGTGTGTGTGGGAGTAATAGTAGTATATTTTTACCAGTTGTGTAAGAAGATTCTTTACCTAAGTAAAAATAACAATACCACAATTTAAGGAAGTATGTCTCACATTCAAAATTCAAAGTACGAAAGTATTAGTGACAAGTAAAGAACATTTTGAATCTCCCAGTATATTACAAGAATGTTGCAATAATATCTATACATTTTCATTCCAAAATTACTTGAGGATGACTATTGTTTGTTTTGTTTTTTTAATAGGGTAAACTGTGCAACAGCACTGTGTGCAACAGTGCTACTGGTGTGACTCCTCCCCCTTAGCAGGCTGTTTAATTCTCGTGAGGTGATGCCCAGTTAGTAACTTAATAAAGCTGCTGGATGCAATCACAGGGCATAATGTGTGGATCATGTTCGTCTGACAGACCGGCTCTCTGCTCCACTCCCAAGTTCACACTGCCTGCTGCTTTCCTGTAAGTACTACACGTCACAGCCATTTCAACTTAGACTTGATGAAGGGAGAGATGTCTCTACTGGTTGAGTAACACACCAGGACTTGTGAATGAAAACACATCAGACAAAATGGGGGGAAAGAAAGGGAGACCATGTAATTGCATCTGGTAAGTTTCAGCCCTTTTGACCTAGTAAAAGAAATGAGTGAAGCTATCAATGCAACTTTGTTCCCTTGGAGGTTTGTTGAACAAAGCCTAATGCGATTCAGTTTTCAGTATTTTTCTAAATGTTCAGTAACTTACAGATGTTTTAATTTATGTAAATCATGTTATCTTCAGCATTAATAGTCAAAATGTAGACATTTCCTCTATCCTGGTTAAAGTGCAGTGAGTGACAGCAATTAAAGATTGTATGCTTTGACTGCAAGTTTGATAATTTCCCCCTGTACACAATGTTTAAAGAATGCTCTGTATGGCATTTTGTGATGGAAAGTCACTGGCTTAATCCCTATTGGAGTTATAAATGTTGTGCCCAGAGGCAGCCATACTGATAGGGTTCAGTACATTTTCAGCCACATGCACACACCAGGAATACATAAGTAGGCTAATCATTTTGCTCATTATTCTTTTCGCCAGGAGGTTCCTGTCCTGGTGTAACTGTCAGCGCATAATGGTGGCTTTTAAAGGGATCTGGACCAAGGACTTCTGGAGGGCTGTGTCTGGAGAATACCTGGCCACTCTCATCTTTGTCTTTCTCGGTCTGGGCTCAACCATCAACTGGGCCCCAGAGGAGGAGAAGCCTCCACCAGCTGACCTAGTCCTTATCTCCTTGTGCTTTGGCCTGAGTATTGCCACTATGGTGCAATGTTTTAGCCACATAAGTGGTGGACACATTAATCCGGCGGTCACTGCAGCTATGGTGGTGACTAGAAAGCTGAGCTTGGCAAAGGCGTTGTTCTATGTGGTGGCTCAGTGCCTGGGAGCCATCACAGGAGCTGGGATTCTCTACCTAGTCACACCTGCTGCTGTTAGAGGGTCCTTCGGTGTGACCATGGTAAGGATCTGACCATATTCATTATCACTTGTGTGTGTGTGTATGATATATGTTTCCTTACAGTTAAGTTCTGTTTCCAAGGTGAACTCCAACATCTCATTAGGACACGGCCTTCTTGTGGAGCTCCTTATCACATTCGAACTGGTCTTTACCGTCTTCGCCACCTGTGATCCCAAACGCACAGACCTAGGAGGCTCTGCTGGCCTTGCTATCGGCTTTGCTGTGGCTATTGGTCACTTATTTGCAGTAAGTACCTTCCAGTAAGTCCGATAAGAGATAGATATGAAATGGCAGTTAGGGTAAGAAGTCCAGAACAATGTTTATACCAGCGATTCTCAAACAATTTCAGGCTCTCATCCTGTTGTTATATTCCCAAATTCCCATGACTCCAGTGAGAGGAAAATCTAACTTCCATACAGCAGCCTTAGAAATCTTTTGCAGCCCCATATACATCTAATCTAACACTTCCCATGCTCCGAACCCCAACAGTGGTAACACTGATTTAAAGATTCATCTGAAAATTGTATTAAATTCAATACACCGCAGTAAAGAATTGTAGAATAACTAGTTTCAAGTGCAAGCCTCTTTAGCATGCACTGAAAGCTGGAGCACTGAAGCTTCTTGGAGAAAAAGTAGGTGCATTAAAGCATCTATTCAATGTGTGATATTTTATGCTTCTCACTGATTCACACCCACATCTTTATTGGAGGCTGCCATCGCATAGCAACCAATCTCTGGGGGCTCCCCTGAACCCTGCACAGCAAATTAATGCACAGGGAAATAGATGTTATCTCTCGCACTGCTCAACTGATTTATCCGTAGGTCTGTTTAGCAAATGCATATATACATACAACTTACTGCAAGTTGTATGTATACATGCATTTGCTATATATATATATATATTTCAGTATAAGACATGTAAGAAAAAAAAAAATATTGTACAAAACTATGTTTTATCATTTAGACTCAAAACAATGCTGATGTGTTTTCTAGATCCCTTACACAGGAGCCAGCATGAACCCTGCTCGATCCTTTGGGCCTGCGATGGTCACACTCAACTTCGAGAACCACTGGGTAAGAGATACTTCCCTAAAAGGATGATCTTTCTTTTAAGAGTTGGTGTGGCCAAAATATTACCCACTCACTCCTGATAGTAGCTGGGTTAGTTTGATTGTACCTGTGCATGACTGTGCATGTGTTTGTGTATGTACTTGTGTATGACTAAGTATTTGCACTCTAAGATAATACATTAGCTCACTGGTTCAAATGGTTTGTCATAGTACCATGTCAAAATGGTCTGAAATAATTAAGATAAGATAATAGATTTTATTTTAATGTCCTGAGGAGGGCAGACTCTACTACACTAGGCTAGTGGTATGGCATGTTGAAACCTGGTAAGATCACATTTTCAGCACCATTGCGAGAACAGTAAAGACAGCTGTGACCTACATATGAAGAGTCTTTCACTTGTATCAGTAATTGCAATACAACCTAAATAAGAGGCTTTAAATGCTTATTAAAAACCGTACGTATTACCCTTGAATGTATGATTTCGTCCAACCGAAGAAGTGCAAAGGTAATCATACATTTTCAGCATTTTCACCTCTAGCTCCATAATGAGATGTCACTGTTCAAGGTGTAAAATAGCATTAGCTCAGAATTTTTGTATCCATGCAATTATTTCGACTGAGCTGTGTGTGTGTGTGTGTGTGTGTGTGTGTGTGTGTGTATTAGATGACGTGCCTGGCTTATAACACTGTCAGTAACTGTCACTATGGCTGGTATCATATTCAGAAGTGTCTTCTCTTGGAAGCAAATGCTTGATGCAATAGACAATGAAGGTTGACCCTCTTTTCCCAATTGCCTAACAGGATGGTTTGACAGTTTTGTTTGTCTTGCTGTTTGTGGTAGGTGTACTGGGTGGGACCCATTCTGGGGGGCATCCTGGCTGCTGGTCTGTATGAGTATCTGTACTGTCCTGACCCTGACATCAAGAAGAGGCTGAAGCAGGTCTTTCAGAAAGACCCGTCAGTGAAATACAGGGAGGTGGACACAGAGGACATCAAACCGGGCTCCATCCACACCATATCTGATCTGGAGAAAGCTGAGAAAAAACATCCTTTCCAGGACTCGACGGGAGAAGTGCTATCTTCAGTATGACTATCACGCGCACTGGAAATGGAGACCAATCTGTAGATCAGAGTGACAGTCAAACATTGGATCCTGTCCCACTATCCTGAAAGCAGAATATGATTTATGTCCATGAGGCTTCACAGCAAAGCGGAATTACTGTCATCGTCATCATATGATATTATGGCTCAATCTCACAAACATCAGCCTGCTCAATACTTACTCCTGAGGCCCTCCTTCAACAATTTAGGAGCAGTGCGGCGCACATCGCATGCTGCGGCATGACAGCCTGAAAACACGTTGTGGTAAAGAAATATGCGTAGGGTCAACCAATTATGAGAGGTCATCAAGCTGAATTGGAGAAGTGAAGAAGAAAATGCAGCCTTGTTATTTTTGGATTAGTGTCACATTTGTTCCACGTATTGCATATGTAATAACAGGAGAGATTTTCCTTGTGATCATTAAGCACATTACAGGTCCCAAGCAATGTAAGACAGATCTGACAAGCTTTAAGAGTTGTATTGCAGTGCACTCTATTTTCAGTGCGTTAGTCAGAGAAACAACCAGACAACTCCACTTTTTGGTGTTCATTATGCCTATTACTACATAAAGATTTTATTTTTCATAAAATGTGATAGGTAGCTGTTTTTATTTTATAGACTGAGATTTGGTTATTGTAATACATTTCTTATTTCTCTGTATGATTTGCTATATTTCAAACTTAAAGGCGGAGTATGTGATTCTGGAGAGATCTAAAATATATATCGCTACAGTTGCTGGTGTGAAGCTAACATAGGCTCGCAGAGAAGACAAGACGGTTTCCCAGCACACCAGCTCTAGACAGCATACTCACAACTCTTCTGCTACTATAGCTAACAACATCAGCATGTCTTGGCAAACTAGAAGTAAACTGAATGTCATTTAACGTTACCTCAGACACAAATGATTGCTGGAACGGCTGGAATAATGTTGTGTGGTGGGGTCTGAGCCACTTACAGAGCCCAGGCTGAGTACAAACACCAGATCCTTTTTCAGTGCACACACTGAATGGACAGCCAGCGGACAGTGAGGAGATATTTACTGAATTAGTCAAAAAGCTGTGTATTGATAAAGAATTGCTTACTCCACCTTTAACTTATTAAGATATTTGGCTGATCTGTCTTTGTGTTCAGATATTACTCAGTTCTTGTTTCATGGTCACAAACTGGAAGTGCTACAAGATGTAAAAGGTTTTCGGCTGTAATAATAAAGTCTCCTTGTTAATGATTTTTCTTTGGCTTATTAATAAGATTTGAAACACACAAACAGGATAGCTTCCCCACATTCATAAGAAATCCAGTGGCTATAACTATAAGGCTTTTCACTTGAGTCACTTGTTTCTGGTAGTAGGAGCTGCTCACTGGGGAGAGGAAAGGTTCAAATCAATGATGGATAGGCTCATCTACCTTTAGATTATGTGTCCCTGTGGCAGGATAAATGTCCATGGATGTGTGGTCTCTGAGAACAGCTTCATGTAATCTCATTCCATCAGCAGAGAGCACAGGAAATGATACCACTTTGTGATAAGAAATAGAGGTGATCTGTTATGTCTGCACTTTATTTCCTTTGCTAAAAGAACAGGTGCAATTCAATATTTTACTGTAATGTGGAGGAAATGATCAGCCCCACCGATCCTACTGCATCAAGTGAAGTTGTCTACATGGTGCAACTATATTGCCTTTGCAAGGCGAGAATGCCAGTGTAATTCAAACACTAAATCAAAATTATTTTTACTCCTACATGGACTAACCCCCCCCCCCATTTCACCCAAGTCAGTGCAGTTTTTATGTGTGACAATACCACCACCTACTGGCCACAATGTGAATCACCTACTGTGCAAAAATGCTCCCATTTGTTTTTCTCCAGGGGAGGGCAACCAAGAGCCTTGGATGGACAAGGCAAACGTTAGGTAGACACAAGTCAGTTTTATTTAAAAGTCTGAGCCAGATTTCATTTGAAATTGGTCCAGGCCATTTTTTTCAGAACTACACAGGAGGATTAAGTGTTGCATAGCCCTGTAACAGGAACATAGTATTCAAATAGGAGCCTAAACGAATTAATACTAAAGTACTTTGTTCCCCCTTAACTTTGGTATTCTTAGCATTTTTACAGTTTTGCTGAAGTAAAAACTGAAGCACATTCTCAATATTTTTCTGTGGTAAAGGTAAAATGTTGACAGTTTTAACTGTAGTGTAAGTAAAAAGTAGAAGTAGTGTGAGATTGTTGATGTTAACAAATGCTGTTCTTCAAGGCCTACTGGAGTTGAAGATGGACAGCAGCGAATCTCTCAGCAGCACTATCCTTTACCTGCAGGCGTGCTGCCTGTATCCCTTAAGGCTTCAGTGGCTCGAGGCCAGCACCCTCTCAGCTACCCTTAATCATCTTTATAGCCTAAATAAATGAGTACATAAATCTGATGTTTCATGCATTGACTATTTCCTCTTGGGACAGACGATGGGGAATGGGTTCACTCGGTTTTGATTTATTGGCCCGTGCCCATCTGAAGATTAAATAGAGGGAGACAGGTGAGGAGAGCAGCCCCTGTTGGATTGGAAATTTGGTTTTGTTTTGAATTTCATATTGGTGAGGGAGAGTAAAAGTATGTGGCTTCTATGGTATTCAAGAAATTCCTTGTGAGACATTTCCATGCCCTTACATAAATAAGCAGATGCTGTAAAGTGCCAATCAAATCCCAAGATTTAATTATAAAAAAAGTCGACAAACTTCCAAAGGCTTGCTGCGGAGTGCGGACCCCTCAATTAGGAAAAGGCAAATAAAAAGTGACAGCAAATAATAGACCAACACTTTTTCAGCTGTCTGTTAACATCATGGCTTATCAGCAAGATGTTAAGCAGAAAACTAATAACGCATGGATGGCCTTCACAGTGGCTGCCTCCATAATTCATTAATTTACATTCACATTCTTTGCATATAACAATGGCTATATGATGGAAATACTGTTATAACTAGAGCTTCATTTGCACATCATACAGATGCCAGCAAAGTATATCTCAAAGTGCATCTCATGCTTATCTGACTGAGAACAGACTGATTTCTTGCGACTTGAAAATTCAGATTCTCAATTCCCAGTATACAACAGAAGGGGCAAAAGATAAAACACACACCTTAAAGATCATTAGCAAATAATATTTGGGGATTCATGAAGAAAAATAGCGTTAAACACTTGTTTAATAATTCATACTATAAACAAGAAAGTCTCCCACTTCCTTAATAATTTAGACGTAAGCTAATGTTGATTTATTCAGGAAGGTCTCTGCCACCAGCACCGCCTGGAGTGCCCAAATTTGAATTAAAGTAGGACAGTAGCAGGCGAGTCTGTAATAACATTTGTATAATTTTATTATTGCTCTGGGCTCAGTTCATTTCCTCCTCCAGTAGCTGCGTGAAATTGTTTGATTCTGGAAACTGCCTTGAGTCTGCGGCTCTGGGGTTGGAGGGTGGTACAGGAACAGGAAGGCATGCGACACTCTCTCTCTCTGTGTCTGATGCTGTCAGACATATAAACACACACGCACGTACACACACACACACACACACACACACACACACACACACACACACACACACACATATGGAGAGAGAGAGATAAATAACTTTGTTATTCTGGGTTTTGTAATACTGTTACATTGGCTCACTTAATAACTCAAGCTGTCTTGAGAATATGATTGATATTCTCACTCACCTTGTCACTTATGATAAATATTTTACTGTATTTATGTGAGATAGCTAGGAAGAATAACTCATTCATTACATTATCAAATCATATAAATATGAGACTTTGTGTTTACGTCTTTTTCCAGTAGAGGGATTGCCATTTCTCGTTAATATTAGTCTTACAAAGTCACTTCCCCAGTCCCTGTGCAGCGAGTTTATTTGTAAAGAACCTGATCTGACGAAATTTCACCCTTTTGTAACTTATGCTAAGAAAAGTTACATTTAATTTTCACCCACAAGGAAAAAATTGAACTTCATAATCATTTAGAAGTTTACTAAGCTAAGTCTTATCTCATGATGTCTAGTTTGTAGTGTTCCTCTACTATACTATGATTTTGTTTACCAATGATAGGACTATCATTTCCAAAATGGTAATTTACAAAACTCTGATTACTCTAACACAAACAATCAAGTTTGGGAGGTATTAGCTCCTGTAACACACACCTGAGACCCCGATGGCTTTGACACAGGAAGGGAGGGTGGAGAAGCTCTGATTGGTTTCCTCGGGGCTCTGCTTCCAACTTCCCACCCGCACACATTCCCTCACTCCTCCTCCCCCCTTCAATTCCTTTATGCAGAGCAGCCCAAACTGCAGTTTGATGAAACACATTTGTTTGACTTAACTCTTGCCTCACCATCATGGCTAAATCTCGAAGGCCTGTCGGTGTAATGTGGCCCAACAGCAATTGGGTTAATGAGAGGATATATGTACAAGTGTGGGACTTGACCGGAGGAGCTGTTTTCCATTTGGGTTTGGTCTGCTCGTGTTATTAGGGAAACCTTTATTATTGTTGCCCTCTAGTGGGAACCATATAATAGGATTACATTTTATTAGAGCCTCCCAGCATTACCCAAGCAGCCCCCTCCTCTTGTCTCTCTTCCCCTCATAGTAGTGTCACTGACTCCTCTGTCCACTGTGGGTGGGACGGGTGGATATGGGGCTGAAAGGGAAGCCATACATGGCTGCAAGTTATCCCATACAATGGGGATCGTCTTTTCTTGGTAACAAAAAAAAATCTTGGTTTTGATCACTTTTGTCAAAAACTGAAACCATTTCATGAGCAAATTAGACTCTGTCGTGTGTGCCCTGCTTCCCTTGTAAGCTGTAATAACTCCATTGTAACAGTGAAACAGAGACATGCACATGCAAACCCCACAGATTTTGCATATTGGAAGTTTCTGGAGTAGAGCAAAAACAAAGATACACTATAGCGCACAGGCTTGTTGGTTGTCTGTACTGTTTGCTATTACTAACTGAACAAAGTAGCTCCCCTGTCATATAATTACCATTAGTTAATGTTTACCCTTCCAGAATTGTACCTGATTGTATGACTTGGCCTGTACTGTAGCAATAGTCATTCTCCAGAGCTAAATTTCATTGTGCCAAAGATAATATTTGATGAACTGTCCTGGCCTAAAATCGTGCAACCCTGCAGGGCAAACTGAGTCAGCCTCTGGAGCAGCTTCAGCACTTTACCTTATCCATCCCACTCCCTTACATAACCACAGGCCATTAGAGGGGTGTGGCGAGTATAACAGCAGTTATTAACATGGTCTGAGGCTAAACCAACATCTTTCTTAGTCCACACTGAATGGTTTGCAAGGACTATGATGTCCAATGTCAGTTAGTGAGTGCAATGGTTGTTCACATGGTTTAGCCGCTTATATATATTTAATATTATATATAAAGTCTAGATTATGTTATTATTAGGCTACATTTATAATGATAAAATGGAGACTTCCTTTCTGTGTTTAAATTGTGTCATTGTGATTTAAAGTGAAGTGATGATGTAACTTTTACTAAACAGCAACCAGTTTGGCCACAAGTGACACATTCAGGATAATGATATTGTTTATGAATTGAACTTTTCATTTGTAAGAAGAACACATTAGATAGTCTAGCTTTAAGTGTTTAAGTTATGACAGAAAACATAGATAGAACTAATTCAGGTCTTTTTGGGGTGAAGTTACAGCAGTCACCCAAAATCCCAGCAAGCAGACTAAGTTTTCCAGGATTCCACTCTCCTTTCTCCTGCGTGATGTCATGCAGTGCAGTTTCTGTTTGGGGCAAACTCACATCTGCAACGAATCTGGATAATTTGTCCACCAAAATATGGTGCAGCGAGCCAGCGATGGCCTGCTGTTGCTGCTGCAGCAGTTACAGTACGTCTAGATCCAAGGATAATACTACCCTACCACAGCAGCATTACAGCAATGTTTTTTGTTTTTTTTTTGGTATCAAACACCACATGCATTCAAAGATCTCCACTGGTTACTCTCAACAACATCTGATGCATATTTTGAATAATGAAGTGAGAGGATCCCATTATGAATGGGCTCCATTTGTGTGGAAAATGGATCACGTATGGGATTTTAAGGCCTTGGGGTGTTCTTCGTTCACCATGGTTTGTCAGACTAATGGCATAAAAATGTGTGTCAGTGTGTGTTTATAGGTAGGATGATAGTTGAGGCTTGGTGTATTGTGTGCCAGC